ATGCCTTAATAAATTAATGAATTGTTTATGTCACGGTTAAAAATGTTCCCTTTTTTTGGGGGAAGAAAGTGTAAAAGGGCCCGATACTCAGTCCCGGGTTTACCGCGGTAGGTTAAATTTTGGGGGGTCCCGGGGTTTGAAAACCCTCCCGGGTGCACATTTTTTTCAAACCCCCAAAATTTTGGGGCCCAAAGGGGGGCCCTGACTGAAAATTTGCTCAGAGTTTTAATTAAAATTTCTATAACTTTTGTGAAATTCCAAAGGGCGATTTTAATATAGGGAGGGGAGTTTTTGTCACGGTTAGAATGTTCACTTTTAAAAGGGGAAAAAATGTGTTAAAACGGGCCCCCAAAAGCTCCGTCCCGGGGAGCCCGCGGAAAGGTATTTCGAGGGTTTCCCGGGGTTTGAAATCCCCGGGCAGGGTGACATTTTCTCACCCCGGGGGACAATTTAAAAAAAGGTATTTAGGGCTTTGTTTTTTCTAAATTTTTTTTGCTACAAAACCCCAAAAATTAAATTTTACCGAAATGAAAAAATTCTTTTAAATTTAAAACAAAAAAATTTTTTTTTGATGCCCTTTTTAAGTGATTTTTTTTTTTTTTAGAATTTCCCAAAAGCGGGATTTTTTTGAACGCAATTTAACTTTTCGTCCTTTTAAATTTTAAAAAAAAGTTTTTAATTTTTTAATTTTTTAAATTTTTACAAAGTAGGGAAGATTTTTTGAAAAAACACCCGAAAGATTTTTTTTAAAAAAAAATTTAGATCCTTTTTTGTTGGGTAATTGGACCTGAAAAATATTTTTTAGAGGGTTTTAGAAATTAATAATTATTAAAAAGGAAAAATAAAAAAACTGTTCAGACGGGGTTTAAAAATAGTGTGACATGTTAACAAAGTCTGAATTTACTGCTTTAGAAGGCGCTAGAGGATTGAGATAATTATGTTAACAAAGACTGAATATACTGCTTTAGACGGTGCTAGAGGATTGAGATAATTATGTTAAAAAAGACTGAATATACTGCTTTAGAAGGCGCTAGAGGATTGAGATAATAATGTTAACAAAGTCTGAATATACTGCTTTAGACGGTGTTAGAGGATTGAGATAATTATGTTAATAACGGCTGAATATACTGCTTAAGACGGTGCTAGAGGATTGAGATAATTATTTTAACAAAGACTGAATATACTGCTTCAGACGGTGCTAGAGGATTGAGATAATTATGTTAATAACGACTGAATATACTGCTTTAGACGGTGCTAGAGGATTGAGAAAATTATTTTAACAAAGACTGAATATACTGCTTTAGACGGTGCTAGAGGATTGAGATAATAATGTTAACAAAGTCTGAATATGCTGCTTTAGACGGTGCTAGAGGATTGAGATAATTATTTTAACAAAGACTGAATATACTGCTTTAGACGGTGCTAGAGGATTGAGATAATTATTTTAACAAAGACTGAATATACTGCTTTAGACGGTGCAAGAGGATTGAGATAAATATTTTAACAAAGACTGAATATACTGCTTCAGACGGTGCTAGAGGTTTGAGATTATAATGTTAACAAAGTCTGAATATGCTGCTTCAGACGGTGCTAGACGATTGAGATAATTATGTTAACAAAGTCTGAATATACTGCTTTAGACGGTGCTAGAGGATTGAGATAATTATCTTGATAAAGTCTGAATATACTGCTTCAGACGGTGCTAAAGGATTGAGATAATTATGTTAATAAAGACTGAATATACTGATTTAGGCAGCGCTAGAGAATTGAGATAATTAAGTTAAAAGTTGGGAAAATTTCTTTTAGGCGGGGCTAAAGGAAATTTGGGAAAAATTATGTTAAAAAGACTTTAATATACTGTTAGGCGGGCTAGAGGAATTTGGGTAATTATTTTAAAAGCTGAATATAAATGCTTTTGAGGGCTAAGGATTTTAGATAATTTTGTTAAAAAAGAGAAAATACTGATTTTGGCGGGGGAAAAGAATTGGATAAATTTTTTGTTCAAAATCTGAATATTTCTCCCCCCCCTTTGCGGTGCAAAAGGATTGAAATTATTTTTAAAAGACTGAAAAAATCTTTTAGGGGGGGGGCCAGAGAATTGAGATAATTTATTTTTTAAAGAATGAATTTTACTGTTTGGGCGGGGCTAAAAAATTGGTTTTTGTTAAAAAGGGGTAATTTTAAGGAAATTTTAAAAGGGGGCCAAGAAGGGGGATATCTAGCTCGAGGGTAACTGTTTACAGCGGTAACGAGGCTCTGCCGAGTTTCCGCTAAAACAGTTACCCGAGAGCTAGATATTCCCGTCTGTACCAACTGCCGGTGTTTGATTCTTTTTCTTGCATATTACATGTCAATTATTTTCGGAAACAGAAATTATGAAAACTCATATTCTCATTACGCACTTTTTTCTTATAGTAGCGTATGAACATACAACTTCATTCATAACGGAAAAATGACGTCATCCTAAGAACGCGATTCATTCATAAAAGTCGCGCGTCAATGACGTCATTTAAAGCACGCGACTTGTCTTACATGGGGGGTGTAAGACAGAGTTTTCTAGCACCGGTGTAAACGGTAGATAATCCTGTCTGAGATGCAAGAAAGGCGAATATTGTACCCTATACATGCATGTGTTAACATTTTTACAAATAAAGTAAAAATTAATAGCTAAAATCTTTTTATCATCTATACAACATAACATTAAAGTACACCCATTTTTGTTGTAGCTACTTAAGTAGTTACGGGAAAACTATATGTTTACTAAAGTAAGTGTAGGAAAATATTTAGTGTTGTGAAATCTTTTTATAATTTAGTAGTGGTAGTTTACAGGATCGTAGGACAGGGCGGACCGTGAGACTGGGTGGGCCGAACTAGGGTGGACCTTATGTTTGGACAGGGTGGACCATATTTTTGGACAGTGCGAAGCATGACTGGAGACGAGGCGGACCGAGCTTGGTTTCAAATTTAATATTGCTTTTTTATTTATTTATTGATATCTTCATATCAATGTCATCCTAAAAACATGTATATTTAAGCATTTTCATATTGAACAGATTCATGTTTAGAAATTTAAACATCTAGCTAGTTAAACATGTATACATTTATCATGTGCGCACGACATACGGCACCCGAAGGCCTGAGAATGAGAAGATATGAAAACCCGAAGGCCTGCTCCCAATGCGAGCCTTACGGTAACGCGAGTACATGCTTTTGAAATCTTTTGCCAGAAGTATTTCCAAATTTTGGGAAATAGACCAATTGCAACTTTTCGAATAAAAGCCGAACAATTCTAATTTAAAAACGGATGCGTGGACTGGTCTCCTTTGCACTTCTATGGGAGCCATAATAGGAGAGGGAACCAGGATAAAAGGAATTAGTGCATAAAATATCGATTTTTGGTTTCCTGTCCTGTTATGGTTCTAATCTCTGTTCTCTGATGGGTGGATTCAATTTAAGAATTATATAAAACATGAAATGGCCGTATATAGTGTGTGGTTGTGTTAAGTGCGGCCAAACGTGTGCAATCCAAACTGTTCTGAAAACATGAAATGACTTATATTTATGTGCATGTACTATAATTTCTGCCAAAGACTTCGTTTCGAGGCTTTGCCTTATTCATATTATAACTTTATATTTATTATTATTATTAACATTTACCCATGCAATTTTACGTATAAAACAGCTAGCGTAAGATATAGTGAGGAAGGATTAAAAAAGCTCATAAATAAAGCATATATTTTTCCTTCTGCGCTGATGTTGATAAACTTAACTATAATATTTTTATATAATTATACCATTCATAACATTTAAGCTGTATAGAGGAATAATTATTTATTATTAAAATTATAGTTAATTCGTTACTATAGGAAAACCAAAAACTAGTTAATATACAATAAATACATATGTGTATCAATTCACTAAGCTGACAGCATCTTAATTATTAAATATATATCATGCTCATCTTTGAGTGAATTTTTTTATTGCTGAAATGTATTGAAATCTATAAAATTCTTACTGGAATAGGTCTTATTTGAATTAAATAGCGTACAAACTACATGTATGGGAATCTATGTTTCCTACTACGGGTCAAGTAAAGTTGGGATTTTTTAATGACATTATATATTCATAGTGTGTCCATTTATATTGTGTAGGATTTAAAGCATAAAATATCTGCTTTGTGTGAGTCAAATTATTTTTATTTTATATTTACAAAGAGACTGTTTAGCAATTAGATCTATCAATGTTTTCAAATATCAAATTTGAGCATAGCATATCTTTTAGACAAAGCACAAAATATATTTCTTATACAAACTAACTGGTCGAAATTGGGGAGAGGTCAATTAACGAGGAGCATGCAGTCAAAATTGGTAATGTTATATATGGATAGAATATTTCAACATGACACTTTCTACCAAAAAATCCTTGATCTAACTGCGCAAGCCTTAATGGCCCTGTGTAATTGTGTTATATTGTATGCGTATAAATTAATATATGTTAAAATGTAAATATCGATAAACATACGTTTTTTTTAAGTTTTGTACATGTTTACATGTATATGTTTGTCTGACTTTGTCATCATATAAAATAATGAATAAGTAATCTTTTCTGTGTACGATGCAAATTTTGTCTACCTTTTGTGGGCATTTTTGTAAAGTCACTCATCATCATTTTACGCTATTATGTTCTATTGTGTTTCAAATGTCACACGTGAATTGCAAGCCTTTTCTATATCGTATTGTTAAAGAAGTTAATTTTACCCTCTTAAATTATATTTAATGTACATGTAATGTTAAAATAATCGGTCAGTTATCACCTGCATAATGTCCAACTCGATGCAGTTAGTAGAATTATAATTTCATTAAACAAATTTATTCTACATTTATATATGTATATTTTTATAATACTATTACAACAAAAAAGAAGAAGAAAACAAAAATACAGTCCGCCCTGTCTCACGGTCCGTCCTGTCCGTAAATACGTTTTCAGTACGCATGCGCTATAAATTTTGAGAAATATCAGTATGGCGGAAGAAAGTCCAGGGTAATATTTTCTCAAAATTTGAAGAAATTGCAGTAAGTACCTTGTGAAGTTTAAAACCAATAAGTAAATTATTTCGTACTTAGATGAAATGATAACATAATAAACAAAAATAAGTAACTCGCCCAGGTAAATTACCAAAGTTTTTTTCAATTGAAAACGAAACTAGGAAGTAAAATAAATTTGGGGGTATTTCCGCGTTTTAAAATGCAACAAGCATTAATCAGACTTTTGTAAAGCTCTTCTTCAAATGAATTCCTTATATTAATTGATGATTGTAAAACGGCCAGTCCTATTGTGTGTGGGTAGGATTATCAAAACGCGTGTGTACCGAAAACGAAAGTAGAAATGGCAATCACAGCATAGCCTTAGGAGTTTGGCGCGTTGATTGGTCACTACCCCCGGGCCAACCCTCCCCCCCCCCGTCACCCACTCTACAACCCTCCTACCTCTCAAAATCATGTAAACTGCAGTATTTTTCATTTTATACATGTGAAATTATTTAATACCCTAGTTAGGCCTCATCTAGAATATGGAAACATTATTTGGAATCCTCGTTTTAAGAAAGACATCAATGCAATTGAATCAGTACAAAGACGTGCAACAAAACTAGTTGGTCAACTAAGAAATCTGTCATATGAACAACGACTTAAAACACTGAAATTGCCTTCACTAGCATATCGTCGATTTAGAGGTGACATGATTGAAGTTTTTAAATTGTTACATCATAAGGAGGATATTAACTATGAAGTGTTTTTTGAATTAAATAACAATGCAAATACAAGAGGTCATGGGTATAAACTGAAAGTGAAATCATGTAGAACTGAGATTAGAAAGCATTTCTTTTCTCTACGGGTTATCTCGGACTGGAACAATTTACCAGAAGTGGTTGTGAATGCTCCTTCACTTAATAGCTTTAAAAACAGGTTAGACAAATTCATGGGAGAAACACAGTATACCACCATACCGGATCAGAACTGGGTACAAAACCATGGGGGGGTTATAGAAGACGATGATGACGTCTTGCGACCTCAACTCCAGTAAAGTAAAGTAAAGTAAAGTTTTAATATTTGGTATATGCTTTTAATTCAATTACCTTCATCTCCCACAAAAAATAAAAAAAATGATATATATACATATATTTAGTAAAGGTATGCAACTCGCCGCTCATTTTTCAGCAAGGGGGTAGTGACCAATCAATGCACTGAACACCAATGTCCTCGAGTGACCAGTTTCGACGCCCTTAAGGATTGTTTTGAATGCGTCTATAAAAACCATGTGATTGTATTGTATAAAATGTTGTAAGTTTTTAAAAAATCTCTAACCTTCATGAAATGGGTAAATTTCAGCTGATTTTCCAGCTATTCCTTTTCATGAACAATCCTACTTTCACTTCTTCCAGGAGAGGCCATTTTTATTGAGAATGCCCTAAAACGACGCCATTGATTGGCTAATTTAATTACACAGTACAGGAGACTGTACACCATAATACTTTTACTAACGTTGTTCACCAATATCAAGAGCATAAACCTGCAAAGTATCAACAAGTGAAAACTAGTTATTCTATTCTTTATTTCTTTAATAAATAAAGCATAATTATCATAGGAACTCGAGAACGGGGCCGCAGATTGCGGCGCATATTTTCGATCGTGTAACTGTTTTTAAAAACGTTTTTGCTACATCTAAATATCTTTTAGTATTATCCTAGTATGGCTGCTTTTCCTTAAGTCGTGGGTTTTCCTTGAGTCGTGGGTGGGTTAAATCGTAAATGACTATTTGTATGGTTAAAAATGTATTTTAGAAGTTAATATTTCTTATAATTTGTTGTTAAAAAGTTGTAAATACTGTAATAATCGAATAATTTGGACATTTGTAGGGTTTGTTTACATTTTTTGACAACAACAACAACAACCTACTGGTTTCCGGGGTTTGGAACAGGTGCGACTTAATTTCGCGCCAAAATTGGGCCCACAGAAAGTCTCACTGAGCTTTTAATTGAAATATAAACTTACACTTGGTCATTGGCATCATGATATCTTATATCGATCCATTATCCATCTTGAATAAAATTTTGAAATCATTTGTTGTATCTCTGTCTTTTTGCAATTAGTTATGTTTGTTTATAAAGCAAAATTAACGGAATAGGATACATATGAAAACCACATTGTTTTATTAAAATATCATTTGCAATTGTTGCTACAATTTTGTTAATATATAAAAGATTTTGGAAGCAGAATGAAAGTTGCCCTGATGTTTTATTTTAGTTTCATTACAAACTTTAATAGATCTTATTGAGGACTGTTTAGTACTGAATAAATTAATCAAATCTGACTTTAAATCGATAAAGATAGAAGGCTCTAGTCATATACGGCCGTTCTCAGTTAGAATTTACACCCTTAGTTTTTACTTGTCGCCACCGTCTATCCTCATTATTGCAGGTTATTTGCCTGTAAGTCTATGCTGGTTAAAGGAGGTTGATTTTACCTTAAATAACACACAATAACTCGCCATTTGATCATGAATAATTGTTTAATAATATTCATCTAAAGTTACGAAAATGACAGGTTCGTGATTGTCGCCGACCAATTTATAAAAGTGAACGTGTATTTAGATGCATGCTTTAATTGTGTTGTTTTCGTTTTGTTTGATGCCGTATTATTTTGGAACTATTCAAGATTATAAATTTGTAAATTAGATCTCAGTTACAATAACTCATAAGGTTAGTGTTTGTCGCCGGATGGTATGAAATGTTCGTTATCATTTTAACCATATATTGCAAGTGAAGTGTTTTTATCATTGAAACAACATTACATGTTCTTTTTTGTATTAATATCACAATATAATACTTTCATATTACCACCATGTTCATAGTGTGCACACTTTTTGTATTATTTATGACGAATTTATCGTTGTGATGTGGTTTGGGTTAAAATTGAAAGGTTCGTTATCTGATTTTAAGGGTTTATGACTGCAATATGTACTTCCAGCACATGCAATGTTCTAAGATGCGTAAAAAATAGTATATTATGCCAAAAATGAAACATTTTGTAGATGTATAAACGACATTATTGAAACTTAAATATGCTGAGAAAAGGTTATTGATGAAAGGTTCGTGCGGTGATATATTTTACTCGATGCCGCATACACTATGTTTGTTTGTAAACGGCTGCAGTTCACAAACATATGTACTATGAAGTCATTTGGGTTGAAACGTTTCAATTATTTCTATAATGGTGGCTTATTATTCGCAGCGCATGTTATAAACATGATCGAGAATTCCCATCAAAATCCTTTGGCAAGTGATTTTGATACTTTTCATGATTATTAAATTTCAAGAAAATTTTCTGTTGCCTACTGAATCACAAACGATGTTGCTTTCAAATAAAATAAGCGAATTTATATTTTTATGATGTTTATCAATACCATGTCGGATTACAAACAAGGAAAGGTTCGTGACCATTAGTCACGAACCTTTCCTATGATAATTTATAAGAATAAAATAATATATCTAATCCTGTAATGTATATAATATTTTTAAGAAAAATCTTGTGATTATATCTTGTTTATACAGAAAAAGAACATCAAAAGAATGTCTGAATTTTACAAGACGGTACAATTGAAAAAGATGTAGGTAAAAGAATAAACTACGTACTCGCCTGAAAAGCTTGTTTTATATAAAAACATATAAACATTATATTTGTGTGATTATAAATTCAAAATATGAAGTGAATTTAAAACAATAATATAAAAATAGATAATAATGATGAGGGAAACACGATATATTAAAATAAACATTTAACTCAATGAAATGTTCGTTGTCTTGGGCCACGAACCTTTCAATAAAAAAACGTCTTTTTCAAGCTGGACAAATGTAGCTTTGGATTACTTTTATTACAGACAATTATGCCAAAGTCTAAACCTGAAAACATGCGGGAATTCAGTAAAAGAATAAAACAAGAAGATTCGTAAAAAATATCAAGTATATATTATTACAAGCATGAAAAAATCGTTGCTTCTTCAATGTAGTGAAATTGTAATTAACCTTTTGAAAACTAATACTTGCGTGACATTACATTGTCCAGTAGGTGAAGAAAAGATATGGCTCAACCCAAGGACACACCCTAAAAGGTTATGAAGCCAAGAGAAACAAGATATTCACGGAGGTCATTTAAATAATTGGGAAGTGACGTTACATTGAATTGGTCAATTCTTTGTTTGCTGCAAAAAAGTAGTTTCAGTGAATAACGAACATATCATTAGCGAAATTTGACACCGATCCTATAACTTGATATGCTTGCGTTATATAGCTAATATTTTATCAGGCCTCGACATTAGCGGTGGTCCATTGGTCCGAGACCACCTGATTTTTTCAAGGACCACCTAATTGTACAGGCAACTGGTCCGTTAGACCACTTGAATTTTCCAAATGGTGCAGGGCTCATCTAAGAGAATGGTTATTTGGTCGAAAAACGTGTTCTTTAATTGTCGTTTTAAACCTTTTCTCCGATGTACTGGTATATGTTCATTCATCTCATAAGTTCAAAAAGATCTTACGACATCCATAACCTTTTATTAACTCGCTAACAGTGTAGTTAAAAAAGTAGAAAATTATTTTAATAATTAAAGTATAAAATTCATTCAAATGTCTCTTGTACTGCATTGAATTTATGACATTGTATCACTATGGGATATCGGATAAACACATGAATAATGTTGCAAACAAAGGCAAAGGAAAAATTAAATATCTAGTAATCTTTGGCTACTTTTTTAAACGATCAGAGATCCATTTTTTCTTATTTAAAGTACTTTAAAAGGTTATAAATACTTTGTCAAAAATAAATAAATTTCAACAAACAAGCATGTATAATAAATCTGTGAGGAAGATAAGCTCAATTATAATGTAGGAATTTTTCTGTTTATCAATAATATGTCATTGTTTCAAAGACAAGAAAATAATAACTTAATAGTTTAATTAAAAATGTTAATCTATAAAAAGCAATTATTATTCTTATCAGACGTACCAGGAAACAGCAAT